ACGTGACGCCAGAGTCGCAAAGCTCTGCAGCTCCGCCACCACCCGCTCTGCTGCGAAGGGCGCCGCAGAACGCGCTGCTGCCTGCGTCGGTACTATCCCAACGGACGGGCTGGTTGGGTTTTTGTCGAACAATGGCAACAGTACCCACTGGAAGGACGAGTACCTTGGGGTGGGCGCCACGGTGTCTGGAGCAGAGAAGGTTGTCAATGGCTTTGCGCTGGCGGGGCGTGGTGCATCGATTGTGTGGCCGGTGGGCGGAGACGAGGATGGCCCAGGGCACGGTTCTGTGGGCGAAGAGGTGACGCTTGTGGCGATGGTGACCATCAACGAAGCGCCACCGACCGCCACCCCACTGCTGGGCGTGAGGACAGCGGAGGCTGGAATGTATCTGGGGCTGTGGTACGACGAGCAGAAGCGCTGGAGGACGGAGTTCAGAGCAGAAGCGGATGCACAAAGAATGACGTGGGAGGAGGGGAAGGCATACCGAGTGGTGCTCACGGTGGAAAACGGCACGGGCTCGGCATACGTCGACGGACAGCTTGTGGGGAGTTTGGAGGAGAAACCCCCGGCTAGTTTTGTTGCTTTGCCTGAGCATGTGTTTTATCCCGAAGAAACTCTGCTATGGAGGAGGCCGCCGGAGAGGGTCTCGCACATCTTCGTTGGGGAATACAGGTACGGCGAAGTAAACGCAGAGGTCCACGTGACGGTGAAGAACGTCTTGCTGTACAACCGCTGCTTCAACGCCAGTGAGGTTGCCGCTCTGCAGGAGAAGGAAAAGGAGGAGACCAGCGTGGCGGCGCCGGGGGAGGTGCCTCGCACCGCCGCACCCGCCGCCAGTGACCCGACGAACTCTGCGCACGGCGAGGCTGCAGCAACTGGCGGTGTGACGGAGGAGCCGTCAGGGGCAGCCGGCACTGGCTCCGCGGCGACCGACGCGGCTGGGAGTTCTGCGGGGAGTGCGTCGGTGCCGCGCGGTGCACCGGCGCCGGGCCTAAACAACGCCTCCGCCGCACTCGCAAAGGAGGCTGCGGGCACAGTGCAGAGGGAGGCTGGCGGCGGCGACGGCACTGCGCGTGGGAGTGTGTCTGTGGTGCTCTCGCTGCTTATGCTTGCGCTGTGGGCATGTGTTTCGCTCCTCTGAGCCGGAGAACACGGCAACGAGGGAGGAGGCGGTGCGACCCGCGCTGAAGTGTGTGCAGAGTGTGTTTGACGTTCGTTGATTGTTCTCTTCAGTGCAGCCACTTTTTTTCTTTTTATGTTAAATAATTCTTGCTTTCTTTTCTTGTTGCTTACACTCTCGCTGTGGGGGGTGAGCAAGAGCTCCCCGCGTGGCTGCTTGCGTCTCTGCCCAGTGCACGCAGGCGGGGGACGGTGCGCCGCAGCGATGGGGCGCGCAGGGGGTGACGCGTCGTGGCCCGCGAAGGACGCCACGCACACCGGAGGGGCTGTGAGGTATAAATGACCGGTGCGACCGTGAGGAGGAGTACAATGAAGCGAAATGTTCACCGCCTTTGCTTTTGTCGCGTGCAGAAAATCCACGCGCAGTTTTGCGAAGCCACGCAACAGTTCGCTGCCGCTTCACTTTCTTTTTTTCTTTGGGGGGGGGGAGGAGACACTGTGGAGGGAAGTAATTCTTCTTTTGGGGTTGGGGGGATTTATACATGATGCAGGAC